CTCTTGGTAAAAAAAAATATTGGAAGGATTCTATTTTCTTCCGCTCAGAAGCACGCATGAGGCTAAATAAAAACGAACAGTATTCCAGGCCAGATCTAACGTACATGTTATAAAGCGCATTCTAATGTCCAAAGTTTTAAAGTTTCGGAGGATAAACCCGGTCGTTCTACGTGCTTTGGAGACTAGCAAGGCACAGTGCTCAGAAAGATTGAGACTCTTGGATTATGATACACCCAGATCCTTAATAAATAAATTTTAATTTAATGCCAGTTTACAGGCATTGTCAAGGGAAGCGATTAAACACAAATCCGACCAGCAGTGAAAAAAAAAACTCCTGAGCTTAAGGCATAAAAATATAGTTGATGGTGGTTTTTGTGGTTTGGAGGGCTCAGGAGAAAAAAAACTGTCGGCGGTGGTAGAATATCGACCGTCAAGAAGGGAGGAGGAGAGGATTGCACGGTATCGGAGATCATCGGACGTCAATTCCTTTCATGAAGTTGGGGATAGTCAAAGTAGAGGCGTTGAGGAACAGCTGGTGAGACCGGCCATAGTGTTCAGAGACCACAAACGCCATCGCTACGGTACAGTCGATCAGTAGATTCAGCACTCAAAATTTGTGGGAGCTTTTCTGAATGCAAAAATCGAGTAATAGTTCTCTTAAATAAAGGAAAATTTTGCAGACTTTTCACACTCATGGGTAGTTTATTCCAAATAGCAATTGCATTTACAGAAAAGAACCGACGATATTTAACAGTACGTGCCAGAGGCAGAAATAAGAAGACCTCACGGTGACTGTTACGTCGTGGGTGGATATGATGTCTTAAAGAGGTGAGCGGGTTAAATGTGTGATTATATAAGAGTTTAAATAGCAAAAATAGTCCCTTTTGTAATCTACGGAACCATAAAGGATCGAGGACTGTAAGCCGGCAACGTTCATGGTAAGACAAATGTCGGTGTTCTGGGGTTAAAATTTTCTTAGTAAAAAAGTGTTGAACGGATTCTATTTTCTTCCGCTCAGTAGCACGCATGAGGCTAAATGAAAACGAACAGTATTCCAGACCAGGTCTAACGTACATGTTGAAAAGGCGCATTCTAATGTCCCTAGTTTTAAAATTTCGGAGGATAAACCCGGTCGTTCTACGTGCTTTGGAGACTATCAAGGCACAGTGCTCCGAGAGATTAAGACTCTTGGAGTATGATACGCCCAAATCCCTTATAACCCCTGGCACATTTATTGCGTGACCTTCAATACTTAGTTGAGGTTGGCGGTCGTCGCCAACCACCATGACTGAGCACTTATGCCAAGAAAGAGAGAGGCGCCATGTGCGGCACCACTGGGCGAAAGCCTGTAGATCGCTCTTTAGGAGCTCAAGCACGATGTCATGATCTGCCGGCCTATATCGATATGCAACTTTAAGATCATCGGCATACATGAAAGGCTTACCATTCTGAAATAAATCGGGTACATCATTAACCCCAGGCACATTTATGGCGTGACCGTCAATACTTATTTGAGGTTGGCGGTCGTCGTCAACCACCATGACTGAGCACATATTCCATGTGGAGCACCAGTGGGCAAAATCCTGTAGGTCACTCTTTAGGAGCTCAAGCACGATGTCACGATCTGCCGGCTTATATCGATATGCAACTTTCAGAACATCGGCATACATGAAAGGCTTACCATTCTGAAATAAATCGGGTACATCATTAACGAAAAGGCAAAATAAAAGCGGGCCGAATACACTACCCTGAATGACTCCACTTCTCACACGTGTGCGGTCGGAGATAGTATTCGAAATCTTAACTCGTTGTGAACGAGTGTCCAGGTAGGAGGATATAAAATTCAAAAGTTTGCCACCTATTCCGAAAGAGGACAGTTTCAAGAGAAGAAGAGCATGGTCAACACGATCAAAGGCCTTAGTGGAATCGAGATATACTGTGTAAATTGCAAAACGATTGTCCCTAGATTCGAAAACATAGTCAAAGAAAGAGAGTTGACAGGTGTCACAAGACTGAGTTTTGAGTAATCCATGCTGAGCAACACTCAGTAGGCTATTCTCTGTTAAGTGACACATCATCTTATCTTTGATCAATGATTCTGAGATCTTCGAAACTGCGGAGAGTGTGTTTGCTGGCCGAAAGTCATCAAATAACGTCGATATGCCATGCTTTGTAATAGGCAAGATGTGTGATTCCTTCCACAAATTAGGATAGGTTTCATTCGTAAGAGCGAGATTAAATATCTTGCATAAGAGGGATGTGAAAGTGGCATTTACACCCGCTTTAGGAATGCTTACTGGAACACCATCAGGTCCAGGGCTATGAGATTGACGAAAACACCGAACCGCAACAATCACATCCCACAGACGGAGAGTTGTAGTTTCGTTGACGGCCCCGGTCAATGACTGGGTAGTCGGAAGCGAAATGATCGAGTTATTAATAAAAATTTTAGACAGGAAGGCATTGCTACTATCAGCGGTCAAC